AAAAAAAAAAATTGAGAGACAAAAAAATATTCCAGAGAGATAAACTTAAATACTAATTTTAGTTTGAAAAAATTCCAAACACACAAAATGCAATTCAATTACAGAGACAGAGACAATGAAGACTAACCTCTGGTTTGTGAAGTGAGGGTAGACAGAATGAGGGCAAAGCAATGGGTTCGGTTTGGGGAGTGGGTCGCTGCAGAGAGAGTCTGCCGGTGCGACGGGTTCGGTGAGGTGGAGGAGAAGAGCGTGACGACTCTGGTTTGCCAAGTAGACAGAATTTGTAACGGCGTCGAGAGTGGGTCACCGTCGTTGGATTTGCAACGGCGTCGAGAATGGATCGCCGGTAAGGGTGGGTTCAATGGAGAAGAAGGAATGAGTGTGTGTTTTTGTGAGTATGAGTCCAAACCAAAATCTATATAAGCTGTGTTTTGTTTTGGGCGGGAAAATGAAATTTCAATTTCATTTTTTTTTTTTAATATTCGTTGGATCTGCAACACCTGAGTAGGCAATCAAGGAGAATATGCAAGGAGGGGATCTGAACTCATTAAAAACTACCTCTAACCATCACTTCACAACGGAAACCACCTTTGCTTGCTACTACTTTCAGTCACTTTCTATTTACTTTCAAAATAAAATATTTAACACACAGGTTTCAAAAATGTTTTTATTTTTTATTTTGTTTATTTCAAAAATAAACAAAAAAAAAAGTTTTAAAAAGTTGTACTGACCATGTTTGGTAACTTAGATTACAAATGAAATGATTATGTAAGTTAAGGAGAAAAAAATTGTGATTGATCTCACTCTTGTTTAAATAAATAATAAATGAGAGATAAATGAAATGAAATGATATCATATTATATTATATTATCAAATTAACCTTTTTAATAGTTAATCTTGTTATATCTTCTGTATTTTAAAGGGTAATTTTAGTATTATAGCAAAAGAAAATTTTGTTTTTCTTTTTTTTTTTTTTTTTTTTAGTGCTGCTATTAGCACCCCCATCAATTATTTTGGACCTCTTATTTCTTTGGACTCTTACTTATAAATTCTAAATCCTTGAAAAAAAATTCTCCCGCCAAATAATACTAAAATTATCCTTGTAAAAATATTTTATCCATTCAAATGCACACCCTCACATCTCAAAAAGCCTCTCTCCCAAAACCCTAACAAAACCCACTACAATGGAACCTCTCAAAACCAGTGAAAAAAATTTATGATGATTAAAAAGTTTTTTCTCTGCTTTAGTATGAGGTTTATCAATCTGTTTGTTTGTTTGTTTGTTTGTTTTTTTTTTTAATTACCTCTTTTCACACACACAACACAAATCCATTTTTACGCTTTTCTAATTGGTTTTCTGTGATTCATCCATGGCTTCATTGTACTTGTATGCTCTTTGTGCAAGCAAAATTGGCCAGGATATCACCTTCGGTCGACCCCTCGGTTAACCGGCCAGTTGACCACCAAAGGGTGGTTCGACCTTTTTTGTTTGTTTTCTTCTGTTGCTGCTTCGATTATCTGTTTCCGAACAAATAAGAAATGTTCGATTACTTGTTTCTGAACATATAAACAATGTTCAAACCTGTGTTCTTGAATTTTGGGAGTTCAGTTATGAAAAAATGACGAATAATCTTTATTATTTTTGTCATTTTTTTCCAAGAAACTTACCTTTACAATAGCAATCTCCTCTAAGCTAACACCATAAAAGTTATGAATATTTTATGAGATTTTATTGTTATACTCCTTTCGTCTCATGGAATTATGGTTGCCAAAAAAACCTCCACCATGGTTGCCACTATTGCTGTCGAAATATTGCCGCCAAAGGATTTTTTAAGGTTTTGAGGGTAGGTATGTTTTCAATGTGGGATTTGGGAAAGATAAGATGGGTGGTGATGGGATAGATGGTCTCATAAACCCTAACTCATGATATAGGAGGTGTGTGGGCTTAATTACGAGATAGAGTGTCTCAAAATTTTTAATGTCTTTTTTGGTAATTCATTTGAGGTAATTATTATAATAAAAAAGCTAAAAAATAAAGAATTCAAAATAATTAATGAAGTGTTAATAGTAACATTCTTTTTTTTTTTCTTTTTTTTTTTCTCTCTCACAATCTCTCCACTTTCATAATATAGTTGATTGAGTGATTTTCACAATTGCTTGCTATTTCACTCCTCTTTACTTATCCAGACGAGTGATATAGATTCAAATAAATGCATTTCTTTTTCTTTTTTTTCCAAATATCTGAATCCAAATAGGCTGTAACAGTAAGTAAAACAAAAATAATGATTATTATTATTAAATATATCATTTTTTTTTAAATTTTAAAAAGACAGAGAAAAAAAAAACTAATAAAAAGAAGAAATAACCTTTGTCTAAATTTAATTATAACCAAACGTAATTCAATAAAATCAATAAACTCTTTTCATACCCAAATTACAAACATTAAATAAAAGAAATCAATAAATCTTAATATGAGGAATTTGTACATTCTTATCTCTTAAAATTATTACTTTTTTTTTTTAATCTCATCCATCCATTGTATCTTCTTTTCTCTAATGAAAATTCCATGGATCCTTATCTTTTGGAGAAGAGATGAAGGAGGTAAGTAATTGAAAAAGCAGAACCCTTTTGAGTAAGCCAAAAATGGAATTTTCATTAGAAGTTCCATCCACCAAAATTCTAGTGTCAAGATTACTTCATGAAGCCCTAAAATTTCTATTAGTTCATAGGTAAAAAGTATACAAAGCATGGCCATTAATTTGAAAGGCAAGAATAAACTCACCGCTGCAGAAGAAATGCTTCCACTAGAAGTTTGAACTGTACCTGGCATATCATGATTATTATCAGCATAGAGAAAACCTCAAAGAATGTATCATTTTTTCAGGAGAAAAATTGTAACAAATTTAAAACAATAAAATAATTCAAACCTGAGATTGAACCAATTGAACCAGCTCCAGAACCCCCGCTCATTTCTGAAAGCTTCTTTTTTCTAACGTCATGTGTATGAGCGACAACCACACTCGAAGGAACATAATTGTCAACATCTAACCACTAATGAAGATGAACATTGAAGAGTAGATGCAAAAAAGGAACCTCAAGCACAACTTATCCTAATGCCAAAAAATGGGGAGAAAATACCTCATTGGGTTGATCCATGCTAAGAATTTGCAGAATGAAAGCAGGCTCTACAGACAATGTGTTAGAAATTGCCCAAGATACAAACGAACAATAAAAATTAGACAAACAAAAAGTGTAGGAGTAAGAACGAAACAGAGTGGCAAATAGTTTATCAGTGATGACACGGGCATAGTCCCATTGTCTCCCTAGTAGGCCCTGCCAAATCATTGGCTAAGTACACTAAGCCATTGGAACAATCATAATTTTGGCCCTGGCCCACAATGCACTATCTATATATACCTCGGAAAGGAGGGGAAAAGCAGCAGTAAATTATGCACATCAAGAGTTCACATACAAGATTTTACATAGTGAAAAAAGAGTATACCTGCAATGCTCCTGCAAAAGAAGCAGCTAGAAGTAGAGGAGCAACATAGCCAGTTGTGTATGTCAACAGTAAGCTGCCCCCTATTACTGGATCCTGTTAGGAGTTTCACATTAGTTATTTATTTATGACTGCATTTTTTGTCTCAATATTGGAACTGAGGATCGAATTAAATAATCAACCAGTAAGCATTATGCAAACTATCAACTCAAAAGATGGATCTAGGGGTGGGCCTATGTTTGGATGAAGGGGGGCCATGGCCCCTCCTGAGTCTCAAAATTTCACTTGGGTAGACTTCTAAAGATGAGGTGAAAAATCACCAACCCAAAGATCCTAACTGCAATCCTACAAGATCCTACTTACAATCCAGCTATAATATACCAATTTTACAACAATTTGGATCTTTTTGACCATTTAGGGTCATAAGATTCTACAAGCCTACAATCCAGATCGCAATTGTTATTATCATGTCAAGCATATACATGAGAACTCGAGTTTTAGGCCCTTGGAGCATTTGGATCCATTCTCATCCTTAAATGCACACATTAGATGGGTCCCTAGATCAACAAATAAGATCAAAAATGTTGGCTAAAAAAGGGAACATCTTAGTCACTTCCTATGACAGGTCATTTTTAACCTCCATAAAATTTCAATTGGATCTGAAAAGAGTGTGGGCTTTGTTTTGCATTTGGTCATATAGATTTGTTAGTCCTATGCTTCGGTTTTGATGACATCTTTGGATGCTTTGGGTGGTTGTGTTTCATTGTGACATATGCTTGACATCCCTAACACAAAATTAGTCCCTTGAATTTGATAAACTTGTGCCTACTCTCTCATAATTATCAGCTTGACATTCTAAGATTTAATATTTCATTATACCAATGATGGCTATATTATATATGATCTAATGGGCAGTCGAATTGGCATAAAAAAGAAGACATCGTGTGAACAAAATAAGGCCAAAAGAAAGGGTATGAACAAAAGAAGGCCAATCACTATCATGATGAGCACGTAGCCTATTCTATTTATTTCTTTTGTAGTAGTGATACTGATCTTCAGCTAACAGAGATAAGTTGTCTCAATTCAATCACTCTAGAGATATAATCACTAACTAAATGTGATAGAAATAGAAGGCAGTAAACATCTAGTGAAGCAAACAAAGTGCACCTCTTTCTTCTGTTCATCTGAGAAAGACAATGCTGCAGGAACTAGGCCAATTTTCTGAACATATTCTTCTTGCAATGATTAAAAACCAATCAATGTATGATAGTTAAAACTAATTAAAGAAGAATCAATGCACATCATTTCACAATTAATGGACTGATAGGCATCACATAATGCTAAGTATCTAATGGAGAACTTAGTCTACATCATAAATGAGCAGCCAACGAATTTGTGTATCAAACAACTAATGAAGTTTAGGATATATGAACCTCGTGAACTTTAGCAAGTCCCTTCTTGCTCTTATTATCATCCTGCAAAATACAAGCAAAATGAAGCTCATTCATGCTACTTTTTACTTTCATATTTAAAATATATATAATAATATACATAAGAGAAATGAAAAAACAAAAATATATTGGAAAGCATTGATTACCAATTCCTTGAATTCTTTTGGTGCTTTAGATGGTAGACTAGGAGCTTTCTGAACATCATCAAAATGCCCCTAAGAAATATGATACAATAGATATCTCTTATTAGCAATTCAGTGACATGTATATGTATCTATACATGCATACACACACACACACACACACACATATATATATATATCAATAAAAAAAAAAAAACATTTCAACTTCATTATAATATTTTGTAATATAAATGGCAACAATGATATAATATTTTATCACCACAAAATATATTTCGTTTGATGGTGCACACCACAAAATATAATATTTTGCTCACCACGAAATATATGTCTATTTTATTTACTATAAAAATATATAATTTTTCACCATATGGTACACACCATAAAATCAACTATCAAATATTTATTATAATCCTATATATTAAATAATAACAACTCCCAAGGTAGTTATTACCAATCACATTTTAAAATAACCAAACAGTTGAATGTGAGTTATTAAACAAACTCAATTTAAATTAAATCTAAGTCATGGGTCTTATCCCATAATTCAAATATGGTTCAATTATATACTAATATGGACCCAACAAATTTATCTGAAATCATGGTTTGAACACCCAAAACTCAATTTTAAATTCTGCTATAAATTAAACTGAACACCAATCAGTCCGTGAATTTTCATAAAATAAATACTCATCATTAAATTTTGAAATTTTTATCCAACGTGTTAGACTCATATGGGAACAACATATAAAAATTTCATAATTTTCCGAGGTCAGAAACTATTTTTAAAAAATACAAAACCAAACTATTTTCGCACAGAATTTACACGGAAATCAAATTTGAAAAATTGCTCAATTAAGTTATGCGCTGGCTATTTAAATAAAAAATTTGGGTCATTACACCTATCTTCTCCCAAACAATAGAGTACATCACTTATCTTCTCCCAAACAAATATACATATACAATGTATTTAAAGACGTTGTCATATACAATGACTAATCAAATCACATATTCAATGGTTTAATTAAACCGTCATGTTTAATGACATAATTCACATGATTAGTTTCCATTCACCTAATCCTCATGCAGTTTCTACAACAATCACAGCTAACCTCCACCGATAGTTCAAAACAGATATAAAATCCATCAACAAATAATTTATCAAATTTTCCATAGGTGAGTGATTTATCAAATCCAACTACACCATTGATTTATATAACCTCCCAATTTCATATTTCCCATATCAATTCCATTATTTATTCAAAATAACAATTCAACCCAAGCTAGGGCAAATTTCCACATATTCCAAAATAACAACCCATATGCCTAAATTTCACCATTTCAACATTGGGGAAACTCATACACAAAGCCCCATTGTTATTTCATAGCCTAATATGGAAACCCCTCTTTTAATTTAGAACCCAAACCCTAACTTCACCCAAATCACACCAAACTCCCTTCATATATTCAAAATGACAAATACCTAGGTTAAATAACATAACAAGGAGTAGAATATCCCTACCTCAAAGTTAAGAGACCAAAGGAGATGATGAAGAACTTCAAAAATGCCCCAAATTCAGTTTTACTCGGATGAAATGGAAGCCCACAAGGTGCTCTCTCGCTCGAGCGGAGAAACATTTCCACAAGACTCGCTCGAGCGCAAGAAGCTTCGCTCGAGCGAAGAACTTACACCTTCCCAAAAAAGCTGCGTCTGGGAAAGAAACCTGAAGACCCTCAATTCTCGCTTGAGTGCAAGAAACCTCGCTCGAGCGAAGAAGCAAATTACACAAGGCTCGCTCGAGCGCAAGAAGCCTCGCTCGAGTGAAGTGGCAAAAAATCTGGGCAACTTCCACTTATACCAACTAATAACCAACCTGCTCCAAAACTCGCCCAACAAGTCCCAAAAACTCAAATTCAAAGAATTAAAGGAAAGAAACAAGACGTAGACAACAACATACAATCACGGAACCCGAGTTCGGAACACAATAAAGGTCGGGGTAAAACCAGTATTGCTATAAAATTAGTTATATTTTGGTCCAAAATCATATGGAACTTTCTAACAGTATTTGAACAATAAAAAGAGCTAAAATGTCCCAATCTCAAATCACGAGGAAGAAAATATAATGTAAATTTGGTAATTACCATAGAAAACGTAATTATGGAATATTGGAGTGAATAGATTTTTAGCCAAGAGGGATGAACAAACCAATTTAATTTCAAATTATTATTATTATTTTTTTTGGATAAGTAATTTCAAATTATTCTAGTTTCAATTCGCCAATTAAAATTTTGTCTAATTTTGTTAGGATTAATAGTGAAAATTACAAAAATTCACGGGTAAATTACACTTTAAATGCTTACACTTTGTACTAAATTTCACTTTGATCCCTATACATGAAATCGTGACAGTTAACTTTATGTATTTCTAGTCAAATCCCACTTTGGTCACTATATATGAAATTGTGTCAATCAACCCCCTGCACTTCTGGTCAAATGTCAATGTCTCCCTTTGTTACTTCATTGTTTAAGTCTTTAACAGAAATAGTTTGGCATCCTCAAGAAAATCCAAAAAGTCACTAAAAACGTCAAAAAGTTTATACTATTTACCTCGTGGCGGGAAATCTGCGAATTGAAAAAAAAACAAAAACAAAAACAAAACAGCGCTGCATTCAAAGTACGCAGCCACACATTCCAACAAATTAATCCAGGTGGCACAATTTTAACCACACGTCATATAAATAAATAAAAAAATTGAAAAGTGACAAATTAGGCACTGCGCAGTACTGCTGCGCAGTGTCAGCGACGACAATTTCGCAATTTTACAATTTTATACAATATTTTAATACACATAATTTTGTAAAAAGTTAAAAAGTTAACCCAAACATTCATATTTTTTTTCTCTACTTTTTAGTCCAAAAAGACAAAAAGTGCACTTATTTAGGACACCCCAAACAACCCCTTATGACAAGTATGTGATTACAAAATGAGAATAAGAGAAGAAAATTATCCTTATTTTCTATTAATACATACTTTGTCCCACGTGATAAACATGTAAGAATTATATAATATAATATATATGTATATATATGTTCGTATGTTGAAAATCAGTGAAAAATCTAAGTGATTCGTGATTCGTAATAGATTTAATTGTAACAAATCCCAAACGCACAAAACTAACAATTTAAATAAACTAGCACGTACGAAAGTGATTTAACTTATAGTTTCACAATTGATAAATTGACATAAGAGATTTAATGTGGAAAAACCACAATTGGAGCACTCCAATTGTGGTAAAAAATCACGGGCCAAAGGCCACTAAACAATCCACTATGAAGATGATAAAATTACACAAGATTACAAACAATTACGTAACTCACTCTAGGATTGTCTTCCAAAATAAATAAAATGCCCTTACGGGCTACAACTTCCAAGACTTAAGTCTGGTTACACAAAACTGGTCTCTCGGACCCATACAAAAATAGCCCTTGGCTAGCAATCTAATCACAACAACAAAAAGAGTATTACTCTTCACAACAATTCCACGCCTTCAATTCGGCGGAATCACTACATCTTTCCCTGCACCAAAACCCATAGGGGTGAGCATAAAGCCCAGTAGAGAGACCTTAACAAAGTATATACATTTATTCAAGATTCTCAACATTTAAGGTAAGTGCAAATGTTATGCC